GAAGCCCGTCCTTGTTAGAGAAGCCCGTCCTTGTTAGAGAAGCCCGTCCTTGTTAGAGAAGCCCGTCCTTGTTAGAGAAGCCCGTCCTTGTTAGAGAAGCCCGTCCTTGTTAGAGAACAACAGTGATCCAGGCGATGATGATAAAGAAGAGTAGTAGTGGGTAGGTGGCTATGTAGAATTTGTCTTCTGGGATGGTGCTCTTAACGTAGGTGACTGCGGCCTTGGTGGACATATATACGCCCGCAGCAACTATGAAAACTTTGAGGAGGGAGAGGACTTGGGGCACGAGTAGGGCAACAACACAGGCGATGACAAGGGGGAAGGAACAATACCCCAAAACACCTAGGGCCTGGAAGGTAGAGATCTTACCACCCAGTAGACTCACATTAGCCACAACCACCCAACTTCCAAGCCAGTAGAATACATATAGAAACGAGAACACGGCCCGTTTCTCACTCTTCTCTGCTTTCAACCAAGATGATACTGACAAAATCAAACAGAGAATTAATGGACCCCATAAGTCCCACTGACGAAGCACACCACCCTCCTCTGACCAACTCTTCGGACTACATACGTACTCAAACTTCTTCCCCATAGCCATCAGATCCCGTCGGATCGTGTCTCGAATCGGCTCATCCAACGCAACAGACTCCATCATCTCTCTCACCCAAAAAATTAACAATTCTACCAAACCGCCAGCGGGTGTTAGCTTGCGACCGGTCCATTGCAGCCGGTAAGTCGAGTTCAGATGCTGATTCAGGCGTCGGTCGGGTTAGATAATGATTTTTGTTTTGGTTCTATTCATATACACTCTAGTTGTCTATCCCGCTGGCATGGGAGTAGCAGACGGTGTGTTATGGCTCGCCCAGACTGGCATGGGTACCACGTCGTTGCCACTGCTCACCCCACATGTAGCAGCTCATCCTTCGTTTCGAACGTGATCACTCATCGGAGACAACCGTGTGTCAGCCCTCCGTGGGCTCAATCTTCTCTCTTCAATGAACACGTGGCTACACAAATACTTACCAAAAAGTCACATCTCATGTAACTGACTCTGAACTAATCGATTCCCAATAAGTCGATTACCAACGAGTCAATGGCATAAGATAAGTCTTCTGCTAATTCCTCCTCCTTGTATTCAGGAACAAGAAGGACTAGTCCTCATATCGGTCGGACAGCACCGACATGCTTAATCCTTCCGCAAACGATATATCTACATCAACAACACCTTACGACCGCCAATATACCACCATCGTAGCCACCACTATCGGAGCCACCACCATCGTAGTCTATATATAAGCATGGGAGATTACCTCTGATTTGACCACTGGGACAGAAGGAGACCCAGCTACTTATATCACTCAGTGAAGAAGAAATCCTGGATCTGTTGCAAGGGGAGTCTACTGTGGACGCATCTCCCATCAGCGCCGATGAATCCACATCTTTCTTCGCCAAGTCAGTCCAGCAACCCATATCCTCTGCTTCTCCGAGCACCGAAGAAGGAGACGGAGGCGTCACAGAGGAATCCGAATCCACGCTGGGAGCCCGCGCTCTGAGCTCATCCTCTCCGTGAGCGAACCGACAGTACTCTGAAATAATCAGCAAGGTGGCTGTGTAGCAAGGCTGACCAGTACGAGGTTGTGCGGGCCAATCGAGCTTACCACCATTACGGCATTTTCCCTGTGCGAAGAACGCGCATGCCTGTACTTTGTAATACTTGTCGTAACTCATTCTCAGCTCTGCTGGGGAGTGGGCAAATCGACATTGCTCTGCTTGAAAAGGGCAACCGGACTTGGTCTGCATTGACGGACAAAGTCTAGTCTTTCTCAGATCAGGTTGTCCATGTCGAACATGCGACGCAGTGGGCCAAACCAGCATTGTAGGTATTTTTTTGGGATATGCAATGCAGACGTTCGCACACGCGTGTGCAACTAACCGTCTACCCAGAGCTGCTAACACGCACACTAACAGAAAAGAGAACCCCGGACGCCCGGCCGATTTTAGCACCTATTAACAAAACCAATCAGATTTTAATACCATTTCAAACCCCCAAATCAAACGCTATCCTCCAAAGCACAACGCGTAACGCGCAAGCCGACGAGGAAACAAGGATCACCGTTTGGTGGTCTGCATTCTCTGAACAGCATCTACCATCAGTTTGACTGGGTCGTATGCAGAAGGATTTCGTTGAGTAATTGAGGCGGAGACATCGGGATCTAGTAACGTCAATCCGCTCCTTCGCCGCTCGCTCTTTTTCTTCGTGCTGTTCCCTTCAGCGGCTGCCAAGATCTAACAAAACACACCTTGACCTTCAGTGTAGCAATCAGTGCAGCATACCTTGGCTAATTCTCGTTTTCTAAATTCAAACTTGTCGTTGCTCCCTTCGGTGGACGTAGACATAATAAAAATGCTTCCAATCGTTATTGGCTTCTTGGTGCAATATTTCACGCTACCTATAGCGTTTGCTAAACTTATACGGTCCCCACTGAAAGATTCTAAAATAGTCCCAGTGATTGCGAGTTCCTTGGGTCAATTCTGCTGGATTGAATTTCTTTACTGCTGGGACAAGTACCTACGACAACCTCTAATCTCAACTACTTCATCAGACCAGGCCACTAGGTGCCATGGAGATCTACCTCTATTAATTAAGACTGAGACTCATAATACTCATAATACTCATAATACTCATAATACTCATAATACTCATAATACTCATAATACTCATAATACTCATAATACTCATAATACTCATAAGGCTCATAAACATGACCAAGTTGTCAGCGATATGGTTTTATCAAATGACGAGGTGGTGGAGCTTGATTCTAGTCGAGAAACGACGCAAAGCGGAAATTGCAAGAAGATATTTGACATAGGAAAAGACGTCAAAGAGTGTACTGAAATATCCCAAAAGGCTTCGACATTGTCGCCTAATATTGTTCATGAACTAATACCCCCCAATGATATGGTTGCAAGTCGATCTCTCGGTGTTAATATTAAGCCTATTACGACAGTTCCTATGTCGTTTGAGTTTGCTAAATCATTTAAAGAATCATCGATGATTGCTAAAGCCGCTATTTACTTTGGTCTTTTCTTGCGATATTATGAAGTGAATGAGAAAGTGGACTTGCCATTACTCCCTGTTCCTGACCGTCTACTCAGTGATCTAATCGTCGAATTCTTAGCAGGGTTTGCACTGAGGGTCTTCATCAAGTCAAATGTACCTTCTTCTCCCAGGATTCGGAGCTGGAAGGTTTACAGTAACTGCCTCTTTTCAAGCGCTCTGAATTTTATAGTCAGAGCTCACAGAAACTGCAGGGGTAGCTTGATGTCTCTTGTGCCTCTTGTCGCCTTAGTTGCTCGAGCTAACACCGCGAATGACGTGGCTCAGTACCTGCTTCTAGCGGGGGCCCCCTATCTGGGACATTGGCTCGCTGATCTGTTGGTTACAATTCGATAAAATTATTCGCACTGTCTGTGCCCCCCTTAGCCGATCTGACCCCCCAAACGATCTGATCTGGATGACTCTAGAGTGGATGACTCTAGAGTGGATGACTCTAGAGTGCGAACCAATCATTGTCGCCAGTTATTGCGGCCGGTCTTATGGCCGGTTTGTGGCAGTCATCCGGCGGTCATCCGGTTTTTTTTTGGTCCCCAGCAGGTTACAAAAATAATGAGCAGTGCTGTAGTGCCTGCTATAGATATTAGCACTACATATATCAATAATGGTTTCGAGCAGCCTGGATCTAATGGATCGTCGAAGAAATATCCAGTAATTTAGCAACACAGAGCTTCGTCATATCCATTTTATGTGTGTTCGCGTGTTCGCGTGTTCGACCGATCGTTCGATCGATCGGAAATATTATCAACCTTCTAGTTAAAATCATTGCTGGTGTATGCAAGCCGTCGAGACAAGTACTTTACGTTCAGTGGATTGGTTATAAGTTTCTTAACAGGCGCATTACTACCGATATGTGTTCTATTCTCAGGGAAATTCTTGGACGCCGCGAAGGATCGCGATACGTCTACAGTAGATTTTTGGTGCGGTTTGCAGCTGCTGAGTGGCGTTTGTTGTTTTATAGCTGGATGGGTATCAACGTATTTGTTGGAGCATTCAGCTGAATCTCAATATGCACGTATGAAAGCGAATTATTTCCACGCATTACTTAATCAGGACTTGGACTACTTGATGACATTTGATACGGGGGAGTTAAGTTCCATGCTAATGACTCATGGGGATGAGTTCAAAGACGCTGTGGGGGCGAAGTTAGGTCAGTTGGTAGTGTTTGGTTCCCAATTTATAGTTGGATTTATAGTAGCTTTGACCCAGCATTGGAAGCTGACATTGGTATTGAGCGGCTTGATACCTGTACTGGTAGTCGGTGGAGCGTTTACCTTATGGTCTATGGGCATGACATCTAGAAAGCAGAGAGAGGCTTATTCGGATGCGGCAAATATATTGGAGGAGTCTATATCGAATATGAAGACGATAATTTCCTTTAATCTAGAGGACATATTCCTCGGTAACTATTCGGAGTGTATCCACAGGACCTTTCAGGTCGCCTCCAAAGGAGGAGTCTTACTGGGTCTCGGTATGGGGTTGTCGATGGGGTCTTTGTTTGCGTTTTATGCCCTCGGATTCTGGGCGCAAGGTAAACTGTTGGCGCAAGGCTACCGCGATGGGTGTTTACCGGACACGGCTGGGTGCTTGAGTGTAGGCAAAGGCATCACCGTCTTCTTCTGCATCGCATTCGGGTCGTTTTCTCTGGGTCAAGCGGCGCCTCCATTGAATGCGATTGTAAAAGGAAAATCTAGTCTGCAGCTACTGAGGAAATTTATCGAACGACCCAGCGGAATCCCCGTGTTTACCGGCGGCTCCCCGGTCAGCGCCCGCGGAACTCGGTCTCCGGTGAAGAAAAAGATCCAGGTCAACATTGAGTTCCGGAATGTGGGCTACGCATACACCAAGAACGACAGCGCGGCAGAACTTGACACACAGCCGACAGACGGACAGGCGGGCGAGCAGACGATCCGTCTCTCCCGTATGATGTCGTCAAACAAGGACACCCGATTGTCCTTCCGACGGCAAGGCATTAGTTGGATTTTCCGCAACGTTTCACTGACCATCAAGCCTGGCGAAATCGTGGCATTCATTGGTCCTTCCGGCTGCGGCAAGAGTACCATTGCCAAGTTGTTGTTGCGCTTTTCAGATGTCGTGGAAGGCAACATCACACTTGATGGTGTCGACATCCGGCAGCATGACCTCAACTTCCTCCGCGATCAGGTCGCTTATGTGGGACAGGAGCCACAGCTTTTCGATGACACCGTGTTCAATAACATCCTTCATGGCAACCGGTTCGCCAGCGAAGGCGACGTGGTGGAGGCTGCTAAGGCCGCCAACGCCGATCACTTCATTCGGGCATTGCCCAACGGTTACCACACACGTGTGGGTGAGAACGCGTCCAAACTCAGCGGTGGTCAGAGACAAAGGGTAGCCATCGCTAGAGCCCTGCTGCGAAAGCCTAAACTACTTATTCTCGACGAGGCCACTAGTGCCCTAGACAACACCAGCGAATCACACGTTTTAAGGAACGTCCTCGAGCTCGTCCGTAATAACCAAACCTCAGTCGTTACCATCGCGCATCGATTGACAACCATTCGAGACTGTGACTGCATATACGTCTTTAACACCTTCGGTAATCTGGGCATCCCCAACGCACCCTGCAAAAGCTTCGTCCAGGAAAGTGGGACTCACGACCAACTTGTCGATCAGAATGGACTCTACTGTACGATGCTCAAAACTCAGAATATTGTACCAGAAAAACGGGGTATCAAAAAAGCGGCTAAGTCCCTCCCAGATGACAACCGTTCTAACGGACAGCGAACCTACCGCCCTAATGGTGGATCCAACCGACTACCCAATAGCAATCAAGGTCTCTCTAGTCAAGCGTTTACCAGCCAGGCTCTCTCCAGTCAGGCGCCGGCCAGCCAGGCACTTTCCAGCCGCGCCCCTGGCAGCAAAGTTACGACATTCCAGGAGGCCACACTGCATGAAGACCCTGGTCCTGGTAGCAGCGATGCAACCCCCGTGCATCCGCGCATTCCCGTCCTAGACTTCACCCGGCTCGGCGGCAACACCGAGCGACAGGCGCATCCGTACACGCCTGCCTTATCGTCGCCATCGGGCGGGCCCCTAAAGCGTGTACCCGGGATAGAAGGACCTGCGGCAACTGACACAGTCACTGACACAGTCACTGACACAGTTACTGACACAGCGGCGCAGCTCCTTCCCACGGCAGCTCCTTTTTCCAGCGAGATGAGTCCGATGGTTTCGGAGGCGCAGCAGCAAGGTAAGACCATCCAGCCTCCGCGTCGACTGACGGTGAAGCCTTTGATCACGACCCGTGAAGACTTCGGACCGATGACTCCTGAGCACCGGCTGCAAAGTGCACGGCGAACCGGCATGACACCCACTGGCAGACTCATGTCCAAACTGGTCACCTTCACCTCCAGTGCGCGTTCGGAGCACCAGTTCCTCAAGGAGAACAACAAACAGAAGAGAAGGCAACGTAGACGCGTCGACGTCAGACCCCGCTCAGAGGGCCCCTACAGGTCCCCTGGTGGTCGGGAAGGTCGGTACAGGCGAGAGGGTCGGTACAGGCAAGATGATGGACAGGAGGGTGGGTATAGGCGAGAAGGTCGGTACAGGCAAGATGATGGACTAGAAGGTGGGGACCAACCGGAGAGGAAGCAAAGGGCTGCTAGTGGGTCGAGATACTCACGTGCGAGTAGCCACAGCTCTCGAGTGAGCTTCGCCGACGACTTGGACGATGAAGAGAATCTTCACACTGCCATCTGCTTCAGTCCTGACGCTAAGCACGGCGCGCCGCTGCCGTCGGATCCCTATTTCGACCAAGAGGAGGAGTCGACCTTTTTTGTTCGGCAGAATCGTTCGCAAAGTGTGCAGGTCAAACGCTCGGTGATTGCCCCGCACCTGCTTGCATTGCCATTGACCAAGCTGGTATCACCCCAGGAGCACGTCTTACAAGAGTATATGTTGCGAGAGAATACGCGGCAAGGAGAAGCCATTCAGAAAGAAGCTCTTCCGGACGGCTCGCTTCAAGAAGACGATAGCCTCTCGTTACTTCTGGACGATAAAGACCTTGAAGACTCCTCAAACGACTTGAAAATCACTAACGTGGAAACTAGCCTGGTCAAAACCTCTCGGGACCAAAGGCCCTCTCAAGGATCTGGTGGCCGTATTGCAGACGCCGGTCCACTAACTACCTACGCAGACATTTCCTCCACGCGAGATGCAAGAAGACCCTTCAGTGAACGGCACCGGCCCGGAAACTTTACGCCTGTGCCCGGCTGCAATCAAAACACAGCGGTACATGAGGGAACCGTTCACACGGGCATCGATGGGAACAAGTATTGGGAAAGGAAGTCAATGACTGGGAGCCGGCGAGACGACCCGCACCTACGGGACGACCCGCACCTACGGGACGACCCGCACCTACGGGACGACCCGCACCTACGGGAGGAACACGCCCAGAGGCGGGAGCACGCCCAGAGGCGGGAGCACGCCCAGAGGCGGGAACACGCCCAGAGGCGGGAACACGCCCAGAGGCGGGAACAGTCGCACAGAGAGGTGGTCGGAGAGTCGAGTTGGAATATGGTTTTCGGTAGTGAGTACGGTTGTCACCGTGAGACAATGTCCGTGGAGTGTGTTTTGGAGAGACATGGCACTAGTGGTGTGGTTGGAATAGCGGCGGAGGTAGGATCTCATGGTCAGTCGTATCGGGCATCTGAGTATGGCGAACACAACGGTGGTGCTGGTGATATTTATGGTGGTGGTGATATTTATGGTGGTGGTGATGCTTACGGTGGTGGTGATGCTTACGGTGGTGGTGATGCTTACGGTGGTAATAATGGGGACGACAAGACACTGAATGTGTTCCCGGACTACAAGGGTCAATCGCGGCCACGCCTTTTCAAGTTCTGGTTATATTATGGACGAGGAGGCATATTACCATTGATAATAGGTTATATTGCGGCGGCTATTAATGGTTTTATTTTCCCATTATTTTCGTGGTGTTTTGCACGTTTCATTAAGGTGTTATCGTACCCTTCGGCAGAGGCAATTGAGAACGGTATTTGGTCACCGACGAAAGATTTATTGTTGGTGAGTGGTATATGCTTTGTGGCTAATTTATTACAACACAGCTGTGTGGAGCATACGGGTAATCGTCTAGTGCGTTGCATTCGGTTCCGTCTATTTGACCACATAGTACATTTGCCAGCCAGTTTCTTCCAACAGCAGACGCTGGCACCAGGTTATTTGATGAATCTCATTTCAAACGACCCGCTCGTGGTCAAGGCATGGGCTAACGACTTTGTGTACGTGATTGTCCAAAACGTCGCCTGTCTCGTGCTCGCCACAGTCATCGCCAGCGCGGCCAATCGCAAGTTAGCACTCATCAGTTTAGCCGGCTTCTGTGTCAGTCTACCAGCAACAATTCTCCAACAAAAGTTCATGGGAGGCGACCAGACCCGAGATCAAAGCAGAGACGAGGAGGGAGATGAGAAAGAAGACCAGAAACAGGGTGGCTGCTGCTGCTGCGGGAATCGATCGCGACCGAGCAAGACGACGCAGGCGATGCTGACCGAGTGTCTACGGAACCAGAAGACAGTTAACGCATTCAATTTGCACTTGGGTCTCGCACAAGAGTTCGATCGATTGTTGGTCGCGGAACGAAAGGAGGGCTATCACATGGCCATTATAACAGGCTTCTTCTTCGGCTTGGCACAGCTGTGTCAATTTGCCGCACAATCTCTTAATCTGTGGTGCGGAGGACGGGCATATTGTTCAGGTGAGATAGATAACCCTGGTGATATGATGCAGGCTACATTCACGATGATAATTGCGGCAATGGGCATTGGACAGGCAGCCTCGGCGGCGACGGATGCGGCCAAGGGTAAAGTGAGTGCAGCTAGGATCCAGTCGATGATCGACGTGCCAATTTTGGTGGACAAACGCCAGGACACCGTGTTGCTACGCGAACAGACACGCGAAGAGGCCTGGAATCGTTCACGTTCAATAACGCAGGGTCCTATTAGTGAATGTGACATTGACATCGAACACTTGCGATTTAGCTTCCCTCCCGCCGTTCCAGGTGCACCGGCGACTCCGGTTTACTGCGATCTGACCTTCCAGATCCCCGCAGGCAAGTCTATTGCTCTCGTTGGCGAGAGCGGCTGCGGCAAAACAACACTTATACAACTCATCGAACGCTTCTACGAACACCCGGGCGAAAACCGGCTCCGGATCAATAACGTCTGTCTTAAGAAATGGCCACTGACACAACTACATAACCTGGTCGCGCTCGTACCGCAAGAACCAATCCTATTCCGCACTTCAATTGCTCAAAATATTCTCTATGGCAACCCCGAGGCGAGCATGACCGAAGTAATCGAAGCTGCCAAACAAGCAAACGCTCACGACTTCATAATGGAACTACCCGACAAATACGAATCTGATGTTGGACTTCGAGGAGAAAAACTAAGCGGTGGCCAAAGACAACGGATTGCCATCGCACGAGCACTACTTAAAAATGCACCCATCCTACTCCTAGACGAAGCAACCAGCGCACTAGATCCCGCCTCAGAACTCGCCGTCCAGGCAACACTTGATCAGATCATGAAACGTCGCGATCGAACAATTGTCTCAATCGCACACAGACTCAGCAGCATTCAAGGCTGTGACATTATCGCGGTCCTCAAGAAAGTTGCCCAAGGTGATGAGTCGCGTGGCAGTGTTGTTGCCGAAATAGGTAACCATAGCCAACTCATGCAAAAGGAACACGGCCTCTACCGCCAGCTCGTCCAGGCCGGCCAAGGCGGGACTTGAACCTGGGATCTGGGGGTGAAGAGAGCACGAATTTTTTTTTGTTGCCACAACTTGCATGAGGGAGAAAGGGGTGGAGGAATGGATAAAGTCGTGCATCAACGCCTGGCGCCAACACCAGACGGGCCTCACCGTTAGCTGTCGAGTTTTCCGACTCCGAATTCCATTGGGACTGGAATGCGGTTTTCGCTAGCCCTAGCCTTGGCTCGTGCGGTCGGCAATGAGCACGTGGCGGGCCACAGAGTAGAGGGCCCACTCACGGGAGGAGAGTTCATCCATATAACGAACAAGTCGCCTCACGCACTGAAGATCACCCCCATTCGGCTCAGCCCGGACACGGATCGACTCCGTGGAGCGAATTCCTTCGGGAATTGGGTCCTGGAGCCGGCGGCGCCCCAAAGGGCTATGTCTAACCGACCTAAGTTAACTGCCATTGGCGCAGGAAGTCACCGGATCGTGGGAGCATGTCTACGCATCCTCACCGGGTTGGAAGAGGCCGTGAAATCTGCAATGGATCCCATCATTGTTTTTCATCACGGATACCTTGACGTCGATCAAACTCACCGGACAAAAGCGTCTGCCATGCAGTACCCGGTTCCGAGCGAACAAGCACTGGACGAAGCCGGCTGGGGGCTTCTTCGTCTGATGTCTTTGCACCCGGCGGCTAGTGACCAAGTCCGACGGATGGTGGCCAACCACTACGACAACTCCTCTCACGCGTTGCCCAGGGTGGCACTTGGACATAGTGCGGCACACGTACCCAGGGGGGTACATAGACCCAGTGGGGCACGTGGCCCCAGCTCAGGGCCGGAGGCCGAGCCGCTTTTCGCACCTGGGATTTTCGACCACGTTTGCGAAGGAGCAGTTGACTGGCTGCATCAGGCAACTCCTGCGGCAGCTGCAACGACCGAAGATGCGATGACCGCCGATTCCGGGTGCCCCCGGAGTTCCCTCGCGTGTGCCGCACACGTGCGGTCAACGTACTTCACCAAGCACCTTCCCCTAGGTTTCATTCACGTCAATTGGGGCGCACGGTACGTGGGACTGATTACCCACATGCTGCGTGACCTACACTGTCATCCACACGTGCACACCATAGAGGTCGATCGTCCGGTCAGTCTCGCAGTACATGACGACGACCATGCAGGCCAATTGTCCCACGAGCACATCTCGAACGACCCACTAGCGTTTAGACAGTGGTACCTTCGGAACCAGGAGATAAAAGAGGTGTGGGAAGTAATGGAGGGCAGCCGGTCGCAGCCTGTGAATGTGATGGTGGCTGACTCTGGGGTGGCAACGGACCACGAAGACCTGAAAGCCAACTTGCTTCACTGGTCAGGCAAGGCGGGGGCTAAGCCGAAGGAGGCGGAGTCGGTGGGGGCGCAATCAGGCTCAGGTGGGGCGGTAAGTGTGATTGCTCAGGAGGAGTCACCGGACGACAAGCTGGGTCATGGGACACACTGCACGGGGGTCATTGCGGCGGAGGTCAACAACGGGTTAGGAGTGGCAGGGATCACGAACAATCATGTAAAGGTATTCATGTGTAAATTTTTGAGCAAGGAGAAAGGGCAGATAAGCAACGCGGTGAAGTGTCTGGATATGGCGATGTCAGGAAACTTCTCCGTGGTGTCCGGCAGCTGGGGCGGACCGTCGCGAATGGAAGCGTTGACTACAGCGATTGAAGAGTTGCAGAAGAAGGATACGATGGTAATTGTGGCAGCAGGTAATGGTGGACAGGATTTGAACGAGGAACCTTTTTGGCCGGCGTGCGAGCGTTTCCCCCACATGCTCACAGTTACCGCCGTACAGGAAGACGATGTCTTGGGGTCCTACAGCAATTTCGGAGACAAATGTGTGCAACTGGCTGCGCCCGGAGACAAAATTTTCTCCACCATCGTCAAGGACGGACACAATGCTTACGGCACCAAGTCTGGGACCTCCATGGCTGTGCCTATTGTCGCTGCTGCCGCCGCCAACGTGCGAGTCGCTAACCCCGCACTAACAGCCATCCACACTTCAGAACTACTTCAGAAAACCGTCCGACCAGTCGTTCAACTTGACAAATCAGTTGCCGCCCGCGGAACCTTGGACACACACCAGGCCCTTCTGGGCGCTCTGGCGACCACAATCGTCTTCAGCTCTTCAAACGCCAGCTCTTCGGGGTCGCAAGAAGGGGAAAAAGTCGCATTCGGACAACCTATGACTCTCAAACCCGAACAGACCGGCATCTTCCCAGTCCTCCCGACCATTAAAGGCACAACGCTCACCAAGTTCTGGCTTACATTTCGCCTCGAGCATCCCGCAGGAAACAGCCAGACAGACGGTATACAGCTCCCCGTCAAAGTAACGCTCCACATCTAACACTCAGTTTTTTCGGTCTTGGGACAATGCGGCGACGGCAGCTGGCATGTCTCCTGCTCCTTCTGCTAGAACTGGTCGGCGCCAAGCAGTACCAGTTCCGCATAGACCACGGCTTTCACTCGGGCGGGGTGTATGTCCACATCACGAACGTTTCTCCGAACGTGTGTCGCATAACACCCCGCGCTCTCACGATCACGCGACGCAAGAAGAATGGCCCCCCGACGACGAACGACCCCCAGCCCCCGCGGGCCGCCGCCTTCGGTGATCGTATCCAAGTCACCCACCCTACTCAACAGGACGCGCGGCTCTGGCAGACGGTCGACCTCGGGGATGACGACCTTGGAGACGACACAGGGGACGACTCAGAGTACAACCTAGGGGAGGACTCAGCAGACGACCTAGGGGAGGACTCAGCAGACGACCTAGGGGAGGACTCAGCAGACGACCTAGGAGACGACCTAGATGACGACGATGATGATGCAGTCGATGACCGCCGGGGTGATTTGGGGGAAGACCGCCTAGAGGACGATGATTTAGATGACGGCGATTCGGATGACAATGAAGCGCCTCCGGCGGACGACAGCTTTGCCAGCAGCCAGGGCCGTGCAGAGCGCGTCCTCAGGGGGCAGGGAATCGTAGAAGCGTGTCTGCACATCCTGGCGGACTTAAGCTATGTGCGAAGCCGCTTCTTCTTGAACCCGGTAATTTCATTCCACCTCCGCCGTCCTCACCGACACAGCTCCGACCAGAACCAAGGTAGCTTCCGGAACGGCGCCAGGGCCCAGCTGGCGCATGCCGTCGGTTGGTCCAGTAGCCATCCAGTAGCCGACGACGCAGCAGCCGACGATTTAGCTGCCGGCGACGACGGGGAGGACGAAGCAGCGGCGCGAGATATGGAGCGGAACGGTTGGGCGCTGCTACGGCTGATGGCTCGACACCCGTCGGCGTCAGGGGAGATAAAGCGGGCCGTGGTGTCCTACTTTGGAGACGACCCGGAGGGGTATGATCCGGAGGGATATGACCCGGAAGAGCCACACGACCGGGAGCGCAAGGGAGATGACTTGTTGAGAGGGTCTGGGGTACTGGAGAATTTGGTGGGGTCTGGGAGTTACGCCCGGGTTTGCGAAGGCGCTACGGACTGGTTGGCGGGCTCGTTGCCGAATTCACCTGAACACCACGTCCGACCGCGTCCTGGTGCCGGTTGTCCGGCAAACCACTTATTGTGTGTTCGACATGTCCGTGCGGCGCACTTCGCGAAACACCTCCCCATCGGCCTTGTCCACTTTAACTGGCGCGAGTCATTCCTGGGACAGATAGCGCATTTGCTTCGCGACCTGCATTGCCACCCACTGGTGCACACGATCGAGGTCGACCGTCCCGTGGGTGTGACTGAGTGGACTGGCGAGCTGGACCGTAGTGAGATGGATCATGATGAGGTGCACGATGAGGAGGTGGACCATGGCGAGGTTGAAAGTGTCGGTGGAGGAGGTCCCGTTGGGGTGGCCCACGAAGGTGTGCGGCGCGTGTCGAATGATCCGTTGACGAACAAGCAGTGGCATCTGCAGGCGCTGCACGTGGACGCGGCCTGGGCACTGGGGGCTGCGGTAGGTACACGTGTTTTAGTCGTAGACTCGGGTGTGGAGACTAGCCACCCGGACTTGGCGCGGAACTTTTGGCGCGGCGGACCGACACCGATCGGACGACCGGGTTCCTCTGGTCAGCTCGGGCCCTCGGGGGTGGGTGCTGTGAGTGTATTAGAAGGGGACCCGTCGCCGGAAGATGGGGTAGGACATGGGACTCACTGTACAGGATTGGTGGCGGCGGAGGTCAATAACCGTTTGGGTGTGGCAGGGATGACGAATAATTTTGTAGAGGTATTCACGTGTAAGTTTTTGAGTAAGGCTTCTGGACAGATGACGGATGCCATCAAGTGCCTTGATCTGGCCCTCAGTGGCGGCTTTCATGTGGTCTCAGCCAGTTGGGGTGGTGGCTTCCGTCTCCAAGCGCTGACCACAGCCATCAACGCACTCCAGAAAGTGGACATTCTTTTCGTGGCTGCCGCCGGAAATAGCGGCCTCAATTTCGACGCCGGAGCACCGAGCTTCTGGCCCGCCTGCGAACGGTTCCCACATCAACTTACTGTCGCCGCCATCAAACCCAGTAATCGCAGCCCGGTCGGGGTTCGGAACCCGGTGGGGTTTCGGACCCAGTCGTCTGATGATGGAGGTGCCCAGTCGCCTATAGGTCGGACCCCACCTGTGCCTATAGGTCGGACCCCACCTGTGGGTGCCCAGTCGACTGGGGGGGACATCTTTGAGTTGGCCAGTTTCAGCAACTACGGCCACACATGTGTCGACGTGGCGGCACCCGGTCAAAGGATTTACTCGACCGTGCCCGGACATAGTTATGGCAGCAAGTCGGGCACGTCGATGGCTACGCCGATTGTGGCGGGGCTGGCCGCAAACGTGCGGGCGCGACAGCCATTGCTCACTGCCTTACACACCTCCGAATTGTTGCAACACACCTCCGAACCCGGCGCTTCGTTTGCACAAACTGTAACCGCCGGCGGTGCAGTCCACGCACACCGTGCCGTTCAGGCAGCCGCTTGTGCCATCTTCCTCAAACGGACCACCCCAACCTCTAAACCTCGACCACTTCTTGGAGCGCCGATGTTTCTCAGACCCCAAGAAACCGGAGTACTCGCCGTCCTACCTGATACCAGCAAACATGACACACGTTATGCCTTCAATCTCACACTCGTCTTCGCTTCCGTCATCAACGGAGTCCTACCGCCTGTCGCCACCGGCCAAGTCATCACCGTCGAGTCCAGCGCTCTGCTCTGACCCAGTACTTGTCCAGTTTCAGGCCCAGCAGGTCTTGTCCACCACCACCAGACGTTACGGTCGTTTCCAACACCAGAGGCTGACCATACAATAGATGCTGACCCCACATTAAATGCTGACCAAACACACACTAGACGCTGTCATTGGCCATTACCGAGGCTGTCCATCATCATGCTGCCCATTACCAGCGATGCCGCCAGCGGTGTCGTCTAATTGTCTCATTGCGGCGAGGAAGTCCTTGTCTTTAACCATGCCTCCACCTTTCGGTTGCCCTCCTTTGCTCTTGAGGAATTGTGCTAGTTCAGTGTGTCCACCTTGCTCGGCCAGGTCGTAGGGTGTTTTCTTGTTGGTGGTGGCTACATTGACTCTGCAGCCAGCCTTGAGGAAGAGCTTCACGCACTCGATGTGTCCTTGGGCGGCAGCGAAATGGATCGGCTGGAATCCTTGTTGCGCAGGGGCATGTAAGTCGCTCCCCGACCGTCCGTCCTGGAGCGGACTTAGCAAAAGTTGTATCAACTCCGCATTGCCGTGGTAGGCGGCCAGGTGCAACACAGTCCGCTTCGCCACGTCCTGTTCGGCCAACAACTTACGCAATCGAGTCCGATACCAGGCTGCATTTTCCATGCCAAGAAACAGCCCTTCCAGCTCAGACAACGACCAGCCGCGTTTAAACAACGCTCCCGCTCTCGGCTTCGCCACCATGGTCTGCGGCTGTTCGTCCTCCGCACGGACGCCATTTTGGCCCCTCGCACAGGCACCGTTTTGGACGGCGGCCGTGCTCGACTTCTTACGCCGTAACCCCCGCTTAGCTCCCGTCTCATCTCCTACTTCATTTCCTGTCTCATCTATAGTACTATTGTTCTGAGTACTTCTACGCTTCTCATCCGCGGATAGTAGCCACGGAACTTGTAACCCTTCAATTGAAACATCTCCAGTTTCTACCTCCCGACCATTCTCTACGTCTGCCTCCTCTTCCTCCTCCCGGTCACTCAACTTCTGGGGCTCCTCTTGGGTTCTTCGGCGTTTCGCTCCATCCCGCTCATTCCACTTGGCTTCTTCCCGCCTCACCCGAATTGCTACCCATTCCTGTAAAGGTCCGCTAAAAACACATTAGCCCTGCCGATATCTTGCCACTTTGTACGGTCATCGCCCTATACGCTTACCTCCGTAGAGCCTCTATAAATCGGGCTGGGCTGTCAAGCTTGCTATTATGCATTTGGGACTTGGAAAACAATATTAAATATGCTACTGATTGATCAGGAGCATAAGGGTACGTTGATGTGGCGTTTTGTGCGATACTGTTCGGATAGTTTGCGTAGGTTAATTTGGGACAATCTTCCGTCGAACACTATATGGCGCGCGCGCGCGTGTGCACACACTTTATTGCGCACTTTATGCTGTTTGTTCCCCGGTTATTGTTCGCCCTTTGGTTACAAGCCAGCTGCAGCTGAATCTATCTCTAGTTAGGCCCAAACGAGGTCGTATATTCTTAATAACATATCTTGCGTATGCCACCTTGTATGCAACACGGAAGCCCTTTTCCGTGGTGAAAACGGATGTGCAGGGCTCCCTGAATATATCGACTGACTGGCTGGGTATAATTGACACCTGCTTCCTGGGAGCTTACGCGATTGGACAGCTGTTGATCCCGACATTATTGGCAAGGTATCCTACGATGTCGGCTTCAGCAATTTTAGTTGTCCTCTACGGTGGAAGCGGGTTGGCGTCTTTCACGTTTGGACTGGTATCGTCACCGGCGATATTCAGTATTCTATGGATCATTAACGGGTTGCTACACGCTGCAGTGTTCCCGTTATTAATTACATGTCTTTCTCCATGGTTCAATAGTTCACAGCGCGGCAAGGTCATGGGAGCCTGGACTACGAGTCAGCAAACCGGCGCGATTGCGGCGACTGGTTTGAGTGCCTGGATGTCCGCTCACCTAGGTTGGCGGTCGGCCTTTACCATTCCCGGGATCTTTACCTTTGTCTTTGGCATTTTCGTCGCCTGGGCGATGCAGGGTACCTTGACGGATGGGACCAATGTCCACAGCCACCAAAGTCCGCTGCCAATGGACGTCGAAATGGGCCGATTAGATACCTGGACATCAAGACCCAAGACGGAGGTTGCAGAAGACATGATCGAAGTCGTCTCCGCCAACGGTATGACCTTGGAGAACGTGGAATCGGGACCAGGCACCGAAAGCAGCGCTGCCGGCCCGGACCCCAGGTCTATGGACCCGAGGGAGCTACGGGGCACGCGACAGAAGGACCTGGTGGAGGTGAATCCGCAGACGCCTCCGCAGGGAAGCCAGTCGAGTATGAATTCGGTTGTCGCCAGCAGCAGCGGAGTTAGCTTAGGTAGTATCACGGACGTGAAGTCCGTGTCCTGTAGTTACTTTTGCGTCAAGTGCATTCGCTACAGCCTCTTGTTCTGGCTGCCCTACTACCTCGCCACTGAGCTGCGCTACCCTCACGAAGTTGCAGGCTATACCAGCATCATTTTCGATGTGGGCGGCGTCCTTGGAGGCATCGGTGCTGGTCAGGTCGCCGACCGACTCTTCAGAGGCCGACGCATTTTCGTCGCTATGTTTGCCTGCCTTGCAGGCACCCTCTCTCTCATCGCCTTCTCCCTGTTCGCCGGCTCAAGCAAACTCGTCGCACTCTTCATGCTTGGCGCCATCGGTATCGCCATAGCCGCTGCCGACTCCATCATCGGCGGCAGCGCCGCCACCGACCTCTGCGAAAGAGCCAAGTGCTCCGGAAGCACCATTGGAGCTGTCTCGGGTAAGCACGCACGTGTGCACACACGTGTGCAAACACGTGCGCGCATACCTAAAGTGCATTACGTTTGGTTACGATCTTTGTTCTTAGGTATCATTAACGGCTGCGGTTCCGTTGGAGCTGTGCTACAGGGTTATCTGACAAGTCGGTTGACACAGTCGGTCGGCTGGCCGAGCTTTTACCTCATCTTGTCTGGTGTCTGCTTGTGCGGGAGTGCATTTTTGGTGGTGCCAGCCGTGCATGAGTTGGCTAGTGTTAGGGCACTCAGTTGATTTTTTTTTTGCGAATAAATGGCGAAGGACGAGGAGACTATGACAAGCTCTGCCATGGCTGACGGCATCATTGCCGCCAAGTCCAAGAAGTCCAAGAAGTCCGACAAGAAGGACAAGAAGGACAAGAAAGACAAAAAGGACAAGAAGAGCAGGAAGTCGGAGGAAGCCACCGAAGACGCTTTGTCTCAGTCACCCTCCACCACCGCTGAAGACTCACCAGCCGTCGTAGAGCAGGCGGCTGCCGAGCAGCCCAAGAAGGACAAGAAGGAGAAGAAGGAGAAGAAGGACAAGAAGGAGAAGAAGGAGGCCACCGCGGCTGCTTCGTCCGATGAGGAAGTCGAATCTAGGTCTGAGTCTAAGACTGAGTCTAAGAAGGACAAGAAGGACAAGAAGGACAAGAAGGACAAGAAGGACAAGTCGGAGAAGAAGGACAAGTCGGAGAAGAAGGACAAGAAGGACAAGTCGGAGAAGAAGGAGAAGAAGGATGTTGAGGAGGCGGAGGCGGAGGTGAGTCCGATGGCGGTGGAGGAGGACGAGGAGCCGATTATTCGAAAGCGCGCGGCCGACGCGAGCAGCAGCTTCAATGCCTCGCCGCCGAAGCGTGGCCGTGGCGACACGAGCATCGTGTTTGTGCGAGGGCTGATGTTCGGAATTACTGCGGAGCAGGTGAGTGCGCACTTTGCAGGATGCGGTGGAGTTGAGCGTGTGCGGTTCACGGCTAGCGACCACGGCAACTGTTTCGTGACGTTTGATTCGGCAGACGGCGCAAGCGCGGCTCTTGGACTGGATGGCCAGACGGGTCCTGGTGGTACGGACCGTTATTTACAGGTGCGGGAACACACCTTTGGTCGGTGGTATGTGCCCGAGGCCGTCAGCGTTGAGACTAACGCAGACTATGACCAGGTCCTGAGGGAGGGTATGGCACACTACGGCACCGTCACTGACGTCCAGTATTTCGGCGACTCCGCCCTAGTCACCTTCGAGACTGAGGACCAAGCAGATGCTGCCATCGAAGGAGGCCGCATGGACATGGGCGACTACCAAGCCTTTGTTAAACTCGCCACCACCAAGAACAACTACGGAATTGAAGATCAACGAGGCTTCCAAGACGGCGGTCGAGGCGGTCGAGGCGGTCGTGGTGATCGTGGCGGTCGCGGCGGTCGCGGCGGTCGCGGTGGACGCGGTGGACGCGGAGGCAACCGGTACTAAAAAACACGCATTCGCCACAGCGCTTGCCACTACGCTCTTTCGATGGTTCCCTAGCAAGCACTAGGAAACAAATGTTTGCCCGCCGACGGCTCCGGGAGCACTATTGTCGGCCCCGGCAGCAAGTATCGGCTCAATGCTAATTGTCTCCGTGACCCTTCAGATCTCTCGTCTGGTGACACATGTTCTCTAGCGCAGAGTCCGCGACTTGCGACACCTGGACCTGTGGTGCATTGCCTCATGGCACCTTGCGTTATGTTACCTTCTTCGTCCAGTAACCTCCCAGTGTCGTGCACCCTCGTGGTTGTGTGCCTGGTGTGTCGTGAACTATCCGGTGTGGTGGACTGCCCTGTGCGGTTGAGTTGGTTCTCGTGCGGCCTTTTTACCGCCTACTACGGTAACCTTTTTTTCACTTCAGCCGATAATAGAAACCGACAATGAGCCTTACAGAATTTCCCACGGAAAAAAAACACGGGAACTCAACATGGTGTCCTTTGAGAACAGGGCTCAGATACCTTCCGAGAAATTTTACTTGACTACTGCTATTGCATATTTGAATGGACCACCTCACGTGGGTCATGCCTACGAGTTCGCCACAGCGGGTGAGAGTCGCCAGCAGTTTGCCCATCACTCTTGTTCGCCTCCGCCCATCACGACAGTTCCTCGGTCCAGGAAGATTATGGTCCCTCCGTGTGGTCCCGTCCTCCTCGTCCCTCGTAGACAGTGACATTCGATTCTCGTAGATGTAATTAGTCGGTATCACGAAATAGCTGGCCGTGACGTGCATTTTGTGACAGGGTCAGATGAGCACGGACAGAAGGTGGAGAACATGGCGACTGCGAACAATGTGACGCCTCAGGAGTGGTGTAATAAGACAGTGAATTATTTCAAGACTCTGAATGCTCGGTTGGACTTGGGTGAACACACGTACATACGGACGACGGACAAGCACCACGAGGCGTTTGCTCAGTGGATGTGGCGGCGGGTAGAGTCTCGGGGAGATCTGTATTTGGGTTCGTATAAGGGATGGTACAATGTGAAGGAAGAGGCGTATGTTACGGACCGGGAGGCGGAGAGTCACGGATATAAGAATCCTGAGACGGGTATTCCGTATGAGCAGCGTGACGAGGAGGCGTACTTCTTCAGGATGTCCAAGTACCACAAGCAGGTAGAAGATCTCATTCGCGATACGGATTTTGTGCAGCCGGCGAGTCGTCGGAACGAGCTTTTGCAACGACTTGAAAAGGCTCCACTTGAGGACCTGTGTGTGTCCCGAGTAAATCTCAAGTGGGGCATCCCGGTTCCCGACAATGATAAGCACGTCATGTACGTGTGGTTCGACGCTTTGAGCAACTATCTGAGTGCCATTAGGTACAACGAAGATGACAGTCCCACTAAAAAGTATTGGCCAGCGGCGTGTCACCTCATTGGGAAAGACATCACTTGGTTCCATTGCGTCATCTGGCCAGCCATGCTGCTCAGCGCAGAACTGCCGCTGCCAAAGGTTGTCTACGGCCATGGATTTGTGCAGGCATGCGACGGCTCCAAAATGAGCAAGAGCCTGAACAACGTCGTCTCACCCATGGAGACCTTAGACCGAGTTCCGTCCGACTCCTTCCGCTACTACCTCGTCCGGGAGGGCCACTACGGCCAGGACATCCGGTTCAACCCACCCGCGTTGGTCGACATGCACAACTCCGACCTCTGCGCCACCTTCGGTAACTTGCTGCATCGCGTTGTCGCCCTTGCCGTGAAGTACGAGGACGGCCAAATACCTGACATCTTTGCTCCGGAAAAAGGTATTGAGAATGCGACCCAAGGCGATATGACCCAAGGCGAGCACAAGCGAGTGGATGCGGCCCAGGTAGATGGCGTCAAGGACGAAGTCGTTGACTTTGTGACTGCGTTCAATGAGGCGGAAACCGCCATGCACAATTACGCTCTGGAGAACTTGGCCAACGTCGGAATCAGCCTGTGTCGTGACATCAACAAGTACCTCACGGATGCTGCGCCGTGGAAGATCAAAGACGACCCGGAAAAACGCGCTACCGTTATCAGAAAGTCGCTCGAAGGCATCTACATCGCTGCGCACTTCCTCTACCCGGTCATTCCCCAGGGAGCAGGCACGGTATTCAAACGACTTGCAACGCCACCCAAGAAACTTTACCAGCTTGATCCCCGTATCAATCTGACCACAGGCACCGTTCTCGAACCCGGAGAAGTCCTGTACGCCGTACTCCCTGTGGATATACTCGAAAAAACTGCCTAAATTTTTTGTCATAATTTGTCTCCTGAACCTGTCAGGCATCCTCTCCGGGATTTTTACCTAATTGAGTGTGCCAGATGTTGACCTGCTCGCCCTCGCACGTGCAAAGCGCCATGTTCTCTGCGCGCACAGAGGTTACTTGGAGGAACCAAGGTTGGCAAAACTGTGCTATCAGGAAAGTCCTGCAAGAGACAACGCACATGACCTATTCAGACATGACTGGACCATTGTACGGCACAGCCGAGATAGGTTGTAGGGTTAATCGATAAGTGTGTGCTATTAACCCTTGATCGATCAACTGATCCACGCGTGTGATCAACTTATCAGTGTTGCCTATCTCGGAGCCTTGACGCCGACATCCTAGCGCGCATGACGAAGCAGCTCGAACGAGGTTGTGTATATGCTGGGACGAGGGAGTTCCCCTGGATCTCATTCAGGCCCTGTACGCCTTTCAAAAACGAGCGTGGAGCCCACACAAATCATGGACAAATAGCTGACGCTTACCTAGTCCAAGACACGGTCAGCGGCTACCCTGGTGCAAGTGCCACTGCGAAGAGAAGGAGGTTCGATAACCGACCATGTAGAGCGCTAGTCCTTGGAAAGGCGAGTGCCCGAAGCGACAGATCTTCCGCGAGAATTGTGGCAGGAAGGCCCACGCCAGAAGCTGCCAGAGCCGACATAGCGGTATGCGAGGAGGATACGCCTGGTGACGAGCGACTGTCTGGTAGCATCAGACCTGGGGTCGTGGGGTTGGGATCACTAAGCCGGCACAAGGCTACAGCACTAAAGGTACGGGCACAAAATGGTTGTGTTCCCGAACACTGGAGCAGTGCGCTCAATAACCGACATCAGCATAGCACGTAAGCTAGGTAGGTATACAGCTAGCGGACGAGGTGGCACACCTTCGCGGGATTGGGGGCGCCGCAAGGAGGACTGAACCGGTTGACGTAACGGTGAAAGACCGAACCGCGACGGTCAGGTTCGCTTGCACAGATGGGCCGTGCTACGGTGAAGTGATAGCTGAAATTAGACGACGTTCGCGGTAGAGACAATGTCGCCAGACGGGTGTCCTTCTCTGGCCCGGGATGTCTGTTGTGGTTATGTGTGTGTGTGTTCTTTCGACTCTCAAACGAGGCCAATTCTGGCTTGTCGAGTTCTACCTCGAGTTCTAGCTCGCTAGTTATTTTGCCGCGGGACTCATTCACGGTGTTTTGCCGCGGTGTTTTGACTCACTCATATTAGTGGTAACTGTTTTGACTCATTCATATTAGTGGATAAAATTCTCGTTCAAAATTGACAAAAACTTAGAAGCCACAAGTCTTGCCGACGTGGGCGGCGAGGTCGCAGAGTCTGTTGGAGTAGCCCCACTCGTTGTCGTACCAGGAGATGAGCTTGACGAAGGTGGGGTTGAGGGAAATGCCTGCCTTGATATCGACGGTGGAGGAGGCCTTGTCATGGATGAAGTCGCTGGAGACGGCATCATGGTCGGTGTATGCGAGAACGCCCTTCATTGGGCCATCAGCGGCCTTTTTGATGACTTCGATGATCTCGTCATAGGAGGCGGGTTTCTCAAGCGAGCAGGTCAAGTCGACGACGGAGACATCGACGGTGGGGACTCGGATGGCCATGCCTGTTAATTTGCCGTTGAGTGAAGGGATGACCTTGCCGACAGCCTTGGCAGCGCCGGTGGATGAGGGGATGATGTTGACGCCAGCGGATCTTCCAGCTCTCCAGTCCTTGCCACCACGAGAGGGGCCGTCAACGGTGAGTTGGTTGGCGGTGAGGGAGTGCACAGTGGTCATGAGACCTTCCTTAATGCCGAAGGCTTCGTGCACGACCTTGGCCAAAGGCGCAAGGCAGTTGGTAGTGCAGGACGCGTTGGAGAGAACGTTAATCTCCGGTTTATATTCAGTGTGGTTTACACCCATCACGAACATGGGGACGGCGTCCTTGGGGGGAGCGGAGATGATGACCTTCTTGGCGCCACCAGCAAGGTGCTTGGCGGCCAACTCCTGGGTGGTGAAGATACCAGTGGACTCGCAAACGATGTCGACGTTAGCGGACCCCCAGGCAATGTTGGATGGCTCCTTCTCCCGGAACACAGTAATCTCCTTACCGTTCACCACCAGCTTGTCGCCCTTGGCCTCCACGGTGCCGGGGAAGCGACCATGAACGGTATCGTACTTCAACTGGTACATCATGTACTCCAGGTCCATGAAAGGCTCGTTGATGGCAACAGGCTCCAAGTCCGCCTTCTCCAAAGAGGCACGGAACACCAAACGACCGATACGACCAAAACCGTTGATGCCAAGTTTAGCGACCATTATTTTGTAGTAATTTTTCGAAGATGGAAAAAGTTTGTTCAAGACAAAACATCCTCCACAGGACGCCGATACTCCTCCTGCAGAAAAGTCGGCACACTCAACACCGTCTTCTGATTCCGGTAGCGTCGAATTTCGTACTCCGCCCACACCGCTTTTTCGGTTTCAGGCGTCCGGAAACGAACCACGTTTGTTCGACGAACGAATTCCAAACCCGGCGATAACGCCGCGTCTGCACCACTAGAGACCGCCTCGCGTGTCTCGAGTAGCCACTGCGTTATAAACTCACCCCCAAAACCCGATTCACCGACTTCCCTCGGCCCCAGAAATATTGGAGTCGTAACTAGTCCCTTTGGGGACAATTTTCGGGCCATGGAATCCCGGTCCCCGCTCGGGCTGTAGCCAGTCGTTGCGCTATGGCCAGGTAACATCGCCCCCAGCCCCTTGGCACGAGGGGCTATCTTTTTTGACAGCTCCTTTATGCCCAATGGAGAGAACAGTATGGCCATGGAGTCGTGGATGGTGCTATCCACCAGTTTGAGAAGCTGGACGGCGGTGGGGGGCCACCGGTGCCAGCGGCGGTGGAGTCGCTGCCTGGTGAGGGCGCTGAACTTGTTGACGCGGTACTCCGTTGACAGCCACCAGCGGCTGTATAGGTCACTGCGGCCGGGAATCTGCGACGGCAAAATCGTGCGGTCGCGCGGGTGCCAGTGGAGCAGGACATACTGCCACTGGGGTAGCAGGATGTTGGCTTGTTGCACGAGGGCTTGGAGGTCAGTGGGCCACAGACAAGCGTAGCCTAAGCCGACGTTCGAGTGCAGCAACAGCGCGTAAGTCACATTTGAGGCAGCAGCGTGCTGGAGCGTTGTATACATTACGGGAACAGATAGCGAGGGGTACGGGGGACTTTGCTCCAGGGGTGGTTCGGGCTCCATCATGAGGGGTCCGGATTGCGTCGCTGCGTTTATGAGCGTCCCAGTTTGTACCAACTGGTGCATGAAATAATCCATCGTATCGCCTGCATGGTCTTCAACGTAGATCTGCACCGACGGAAACAGGACCTCCGACACACAGGTGCATGAAACTAGCCAGGCCAGCAGAGCAGGCGCGGCAGAAAGGTTCATTTTTGGGACATTTAGAAAATGTCTGAAGAGATCGACAAACACGTCGCAAAGAAGTATGAAATAGTTCAGCGACTAGGCAAAGGAGTAACCAAGCCCACTAAGCCGTGCCCGCCCATCCCAGATCAAGCCCACTAACTAAGCGGTGCCCACTAACTAAGCGGTGCCCACTAACTAAGCCGTGCCCACTAACTAAGCCGTGCCCACTAACTAAGCCGTGCCCACTAACTAAGCCGTGCAATAATCCCTTTTATCTAGGCTTATGGGATCGTGTGGAAATCAATTGACAAGAAGACGCAGGATGTTGTAGCTCTCAAAAAGATATATGATGCCTTTCAAAACAGCACTGATGCGCAACGAACATTCCGAGAGATAATGTTCCTTCAAGTAACACGAACTCACTCCGTCACATTCACACACGTGTGTGCTCATAACGTGTCACTGGGCAGGAATTGGATGGGCATGAGAATATAATTCGATTAATGAATGTGCATCGTGCGGAGAATGATCGGGACATATATTTGGTATTTGATTTTATGGAGACAGATTTGCATGCTGTGATTCGCGCAAAGATTCTGGAGGAGATCCATAAGCAGTATATTGTGTATCAGTTGTTGAAGGCTATAAAGTATATGCATAGTGGTGAGTTGTTACATCGGGATATGAAGCCTTCAAATATTTTGTTGAATTCGGACTGCGTAGTAAAGGTTGCAGATTTCGGGTTGGCTCGTTCGATTGCGTCGAACTTAGTATGTGTCCGTTGTTCATCTGCGCGGAATGGGTCCCAGCAACGTGCAACCAGACGGTCTAGTGGGAGTTCCTTACCTCGGAATTCGAGTACTGAAAGTGGACGGAAAATGGTTGATGGTCAATCATCAAGTGCTACAAAATACTTCTCTTGTGTATTGTGCGGACATCAATACGACGTTTCAGAAATCGGCGACGAAATTCTAGATGAGAGCATGGTACTTACAGACTATGTCGCCACACGCTGGTATCGAGCTCCTGAGATCCTTCTAGGCTCAACAAAATATACCAAGGGGGTCGATATGTGGAGTCTTGGATGCATCCTAGGAGAACTCATGCTAGGAAAACCACTATTCCCTGGCTCCAGTACACTCAACCAACTTGAACGCATTATCCAACTCATCGGCAGACCCACACCCGAAGACTGCCAGTCAGTCAAAAGCCCCTACGTCGAACATCTACTCGACAATATCAACATCAATAAATATCAGTCATTCAACGATCTATTCCATCAAGCCAACCCTTACGGCATTGACCTACTTAAAAAACTACTCAGGTTCAACCCAAGCAAACGAATCACCGCAGCCGAAGCACTCAGACATCCATACGTCAAACAATTCCATGCACCTGCTGAGGAAGTCGTCTGCAATAAGATTATCAACACGCCGATCAATGACAATAAAAAATACAACGTCAATGACTACAGGAATAAAATATACCAAGAGATTAGCAAACGCAAAAAGAAACACTCATCGTAAGACCCTCCTCACATACACTATCAGACACACACTATCAGACACACACTATCAGACACACACTACCAGACACACACTATCAGACACACACATCTCCCAACCAGTCATAAGGACCCTGGCGAAAACAGTCACGGACGATACTCCAAAAAATGAATTTTTTACCGTCCCAACCGTGCTTTGCGGCGTGTATGCTCTTCTTCTATCGCAACAAACCCGTGGTGGTGGCCCGTTGCAACAATCTCTCTCTGTCGGAGGATCGCGCCGTCTCTGTCGGAGGATCGCCGCCGCCGCCGCCGCCTATACATAAAAATCATTCACAAAAAAAAATGCTCATTACATATCTCCTATCTTCCTCTTGACATCTCGAACAGTCGCTTCGTAATGGTCCACAAACTCGTCCGCACTCTGGAATTCGCTCACAGACACTGGCTTGGTGGCGAGCATAAGACCAAACTTACTTGGCAATTGGGGTATAGTGATATATCGCTTCTCATCCGTCCGTTTTGCACCTCCGTCTTCTTGATCGGCGCCTGTGGTGCTGGGAGTATTGCACTCCCCATCATCTTGGTCCAACACATAGTGGTTCTCAAATTCAACGAACGGAAACCGATTCCAGCCCGCATACAACAGCTGGTCGGTATGCAACACTGTGTACAGCTTGTCTGATGGTAGTGAATGTTCCACAGTCAATCCGGAGAACTCGCGGTCAGAATTCATGTTGAAGACTAAGAGCGCACTGCCCCGTTCAAATACCACCACGTTGTCGTGCGTTCGATGAACGTAGATCTGGTCCTCATGATCGTCGTGCTCGCCTCTTGTCTCTTCAATTCCGTGAATTCTGGTCCGTAATTCCTGGAGACAGCGACTGAGTTCAGAGACGAAACAGAAATGGTGTTTGAAGAGCAGATCCTTGCGCGTGGCAAGTTGCATGTACCGACAGGGCTGTTTAAAGTGATTGCCAGGTCTCGGGAAGTCTACCGCGTCGGGATGGGCGAACTCGCAGCCCTGGAATGTGAGCGAGGCCTCGCTGGCGAGGGTGGCATTAAGCAGTGTGGCGAGTCGCAGAAGTGTGAGTCCGCAATGGGAGTCGCCTTCTTCATCGAAGATGCCCATGTGAAACTTGATGTCGTCCCCGACCCATTGGTGTGCAAGACTGCCACAGCTGTCAGGTTCATAGGAATAGCCAGCGTCAGTAAGGTTAAGTAATTCGAAGTAGATGTCACGCGTCTGAGTACCGATCCGATCCCAACTGAAGCTGTCGCGTGCCTTTTGGTACCCCTGTTCACCCATCCAACGGAGCTTTTCGAAATCCCGCAGCGCCTCTGTCACTCCCCAACGGATCGAGTCCGGATTCGGGTCCACCAGTAACCCGTCACTGCCGGGTGTGACAAAGTCCCGTGGCCCACCGCAAGTGGTGGCAATCACCGGCTTGTAACATGACCATGCCTCTAAGACAACAATGCCAAACGGTTCATTGCGCGATGGGACGACGACCGCATCGCACATCTTGAACAAGCTTTTCAACTCAGCACCGCCCTTACTGCCCACAAATCGGAAGGCTCCAGCCACACCTAATTGCTGAGCCCGCGCCTCCACCTCAGAGCGCATGTGTCCATCTCCCACAATCACAAACTTCAGGTCACCACGCTCCCGCAATATCGCCGGTGCAGCCTCAACCAACAAATCCACACCTTTCTGTAGCACAAAACGTCCCACGAATAACACTGTCGGATCCAACGGAGCGATCCCTAACCGCTCTTTAATCGGGGCCGCGTCCTCGAATCCATCGAAATTCTGCACGTTGATTCCATTATATGTCACCCGTATCTTGTCCCCATGTACACCATACATGTCCTTCACCTCATCAGCCAATACTCCACTAACACAAATAACACGATTTGCCGCCGTGCAACCCGCCTTCTCCAACTCACGGATACGCTGTGATACACCTCCGAACAATTTATTACCACACCGTCCTGACTCCGTTGAGTGCATCGTAAACACGGCGACACGACCTAATCCTGCCATTGCTTGTACTGCACGTGCTGTCAGCCAATCGTGACCGTGGCACAGGTCGAACGCACGTCCCGTCTCGCTTTCGTAACCCAATAAGAAGGAGACAAAAGCGCTGCACATGTTCTCGCATTCTCGCACGAAATCCTTATCCAACTGGAAAGGTACTTCATGATAAAACACACCATGTACTATCTTAATAGATGCCGCAACACTGGTGGCTCTGGTAAATATGTGCACCTCGTGCCCAACCCGTCGAAGGGCCGCCGCCAACTCCGTCACATGAGGCGCAATCCCACCCACCGGGATCGTGTGCAATGTTTCCCAAGCGAAGAACGCTATTTTCATCGGCCTCTTCGCAATCATATTCGATGCCAGGCTGTCTACCGCAGCAATCCGTGGTTCCGCCGTCCTACGATCCAATTTGAAACACAAAGCTTGGGCATCAAATCTCCAGTTATAAAAATCCCTCTGCATTTGAGATAATGCAGCTCTTGTATGCGGGGTAGCCGTATACGAAAATCCAAGCCCACCAGCTGATACTGGTCCGGACAAACCAGGGACTCCAACATGGTCACTCGCAAAAGTTATCAGCTCAGGCTTCTCCTGTCTTAGCCGTGTATTTAATTCCATCAGAAATGCTCCTCCAACCAAATCTGAATTATGGTTAAAGTAGGTATCAAATTTGTAAAGATCAAAGAAACGGTTCGTGGCCTGATCCTTGAATAGCACTGAACTTATCCCTTCAAACCAAAATCCATCGAGTTTGAATTCCCTCAGCCAGAATTGCGCAGCGCCCATCATGTATTCCCTGGCAAACCGATCTGAATAATCAATTGAAGCACCATCCCATTCAGGATGCCGTCCTTTGGTCAGACCAGGTATGTAGGCCACTGAATTCCCATTACTTGCAAGGTGCGATAACACAAATTGAACGCAAACCTTAATTCCAAGTGTGTGCGCACACGAAATTAATTTAGCGAGCGCATCATCCGAACCGAACCTATTGGATAAAGCAACCGGACAATCGGTATGCCAGCCTGCATGCGGATAGTAGGTATGTTCTTGTACACTCATTAGCAGCAATACATCAAATCCGGCAGCAACCATATGCGGAAGCACTTCGGTTCTGACATCGTCGAATGTCGAGACCTTTTCTTCCTTGGTACACATACCCACATGGACCTGATACACTCTAGGATGCCCCGTAGGTCCTGCGGATGGCCGCAGCGGCTCTATGGAGTCTGCTACGGACCTGGTCCTCAAAACGGAATTGGCAACGAAATCGTCGTGTATGCGCAGCAAACGACTCGTTGGTGAGATCTTGTAATGATACCCTTCCATGTCACTTCTGGTAAGTTTCAGCTTGTATAAAGTTCCTTCAGGCATGTTGGGGACGATACATTCCCAGTCAACATAACTACCATTGCTATTGTCATCACTGCGCACATAATCAACGCGATAGAAAGAAAGTGAACGGTCATCGTCCCAGTCGATCCACTCCCCCGTCACCGACACACTGGTGATCACTTGATTAAAGCGCTCTCTCAAGCGAACAGATCCATCGGCAAGACGCTTCGGCATATAGTTGTTGAGAACGTAATTATCGCGTATCAAATCCCCGAGCAAATTTGCGTCAAGAACAGAGCCTTGCCGTTCATCAGTGGTTGCATCGTGACCAATGTTCCTTAAATAAAGTTCATATCGCTCTCGAATCATATTTGCGAATGGAATAAGGTTACTGGAAAGCTTGCTCACCACGGTCTCTGAGTAAGACAGGAAGAATTCGGGATCTGGATGATGAGGGGCTGTCATGACGGATTTAGGAGAGCTATTTTGGGACGTCGCATCACGGGCATGGTCCTCGAACTGCTCTTCATTATTCTTCTCAATCTGTTCCATGGACTCCAACTTGTCTTCTTCCAGCTTGGAGCCTACCGATTTGTTGAAAGCAGCATTATTACTGGACAGACTACGTACTAACGCCACGGTCGGTGTTCCCTCCAGGATACAACTCAGACCCCGTCTCCAGCTCCTCCATTGCTCGCTCGCTCTCATATCCGTTATGGACTTGCGATTGGGAAAATAATACACCACGACGAACGAACGGGGATCGCTACTATCCTGAAATATATCAAGAGCCCCTTTCAGGGTCACACACATTTCCTCTACACTCTTGATAAAGGCTTGCTCCTGATCTGCGCAGACTTGACTCTCTTCAATTACACAAAAATGACGGGACACCATTCTGAAGGAAATTATCACCACTCCACCTTATCACCCAATTGTGCCTATGAAGCGGACGAGTTCATGGAAGGTGAGGTTGCCGTATGGATGAGGTAGCAGCTTACACCAGAGAGTTGGCGTTGATCGGTTGCACAACCTTTACATATATGTTGGAGGAGTTGAGATGGCTGGAGACGTTCGTAATCAGGTTAGACGAGGTCTGTCCTTCAGCGAATAAGAATAAGGTCTGAGGGTCGCTAAGACTTTGCCATAACGCCCAGGATAGGGAGTTGGAGAGACTGTCGGTCACACGATCTTTCCAAACCTTGATGAATTCATCCTCATGACCCTGAACAGAAACCGGTTTATGTGGTCGGTTGGGTGAGTGGGTGGGCTTACTTTCTGAACCTGGAGTTGAGAGAAGGCTAGGGAAGATTTTTGCTTTTCCAAGCTGAAAGCGCCAAAGGCGGAAGATGGGAGCCGGCTGACGTGTTTGAGCGGGTCCATCAGACGAAAAAATTATTGAGGGGATTATATCCGAAGCTGTGCAGTACTTCCTGCAGCACCACACGACTGATGTGACTGCCACTAACGTGGTCGTTGACAAGGACGCAGACAGTGAGTTGTTCCTCGGGCACGGAGAAGCAAAGGTTCCCGCCGGTGTCACTGCCGCCGAAGGCGTAGCAACAGACGCCGGGACCCGGACCGCCTTTGCCGGGACCGCCCTTGCCCTCTGCAGTGCCACCGTCTCGCAACAAACCCTCAGAGGACGTCCCACTCACCCGCGAGGAAGCGGAAGAGACTGAGGCACGTCCGTTTGCACCGTCTCGACCGATTGCGACGTCTCGACCGATTGCTACGTCTCGACCGACTGCTACGTCTCGACCGACTACCACGTCTCGACCAACTGCAGCTGAGGGTTCGGGCGTTCCAAGAGGCATTGGCGAAGGAGCGAGCGACGAGGGGGTGGGTGTAGAGGTCTTGCGCAGTTCCCAGGCGACGTGCACGTTCGCCGTTGACCACATGATCCGCTGCTGAACACGGGCGTCTCGGAACGCGCGCGGAGGCTCCGGCCCCGGGGCGCCCGGCGCGACCACATCCAACGCGCCCGGCAGTACTGCCGCAGGCGGCAGTAGCGCCGCCTCCGGGACGACTCCGGTGCCTTGGGCGGGGAGCAGGCCCTGAGCGGGTAGCAGACTCGCCTCCTGGCTCGGGGTCCGGGGCGAGGCAGTCAACAATATGTCGGCATGAGAGTCTTCGAGCTCGTCGCGCGGGACGGGCCCGGTCCCCGCGTCAGCCGGGTCGGGGAGCTCTGGGATCGGGGTCGCCTCCGCACCAGGGGTCTCCGCTATAGGACTGCTGCGCGCGTCTGTTGCTTGTAGGCGCATTTGTCGGCAGCCGTCCTCGGTCCCGGGCCCGGTTTCGAACCGGGGAGCTCCGGGCACGGACCTCAAAACGGGGTGCTTGTTTCGTCCGGCGGGGGTGTTGCGTGTGACTTGGGCCATTGGTGGGGCCGCGGTGGGACTGCTCGGGGCAGTGGAGGGCGTAAGCTCGAAGTTAGCGTTGCTGACGATGACTTCTTTGGCGGAATGCGGTTGCGGGTGTGGTTCGAGAGGCAGGAGTTGGTAGCCAAGTCCGTAGAGGGGCACCCAGCCGCCAGTGGCTACACGTGCTTCGAGGGACATGTCTGCGCAGCGAGGTTGAAGAGCCTGATGCAGGACGCGGTCGCGTAGGACGGCGCCCCGACAGACGTGGTGGAGAAGGGTAGCCATGGCGCGTGCAGAAACGCGTGCGTTTGCAAAGGGAACGCGGAGAGGTACAACAGGAGCGGCATTGAAGAAGAGCGGGTCGAAGAGATGAGGGCGCTTGCGCATGAGTTCAAAGGCGGTGAGTCCCTCGACCTTTTGGTCGAAGAGTGCCTGTAATGCGGCCATTTTGCTGGTTTCAATTTCTTGCTTCTTTAGGAACTCGGTCATCATGCCGGTGCGACCCGGGAACTTGCTGAGCAACGCCAATGGCGGCGGCTGCTTGGTCTGTTCCAGTTTGGCCATCCACTCGGCCTTCTTAAGCCGACGCTGCTTCACCGACTTGCACTCATCCTCCTCGTCCGTCGTACCGATGGTAGTCTGACTCATATTCGCCGCGTCCGCCATGCGTGCCACCCCCAAGTCGCGACTAACGGACGCCAACCGCAAGGTAATCTCCTGTTCCCTACTAAGAGTCGCCGGTGCGCCCGCCGCCAGCGAAGACGGTGGCACCATTGTCGTCTGGCTAGTCAGAGCAGGGTGGTCTAGCTGGCCAACATGGTCCAGCTGCTTAGGATTGTCCAGAGAACCGGGGTTGCTACCAGGGCCTACGGAATTCCCCGCCAACTGGCTAGGGTTCCCGCCTAGCTGGCCAGAGTGCACCCCTCCTTGAGACCCCTGCTCCAATTCAGCGTGGCCTGGGTGCCGGCCGGTAAAAAGAGTGCTGGGTCGCCCACCCAGGGTACCAGAGGCGGCGAGATCTGTAAAGCTGGAGATGCCGGTAGGGAGTGTCCGCGAATGGTCCGGTAGGTAGCGGCTGGAGCGGAAGGGGTCTTCGTCATCATGTTTATCCAGTTCATGTAGCAGCGTGACCACGCTGTTGGGTACGCGCTGGTTGAGCCGCAGCTGGGCCTCGATCAGTGGTTCGCTCAGCTCGACTTCGAACGTGACGCCGGTCTCGGGGTTTTCGTCGTGCTGGACCGAGGAGATGCGTCGCGGCTGCGCCTGTTCGCTAGCCGGTGTGGGGACCTCCGGTGTTGAGAGGAGCGCGGCTTGGTCCGGTGAGACGTCGTAGTGCAGACCCGCCGCGGCAGTCGCTGCAGCGCCTCCACCAGCAGCTCCCGAGGCCTCTGCGGCGTTGTTGCTAATCGCAGACGTAGCAGCAGTGCCATTGTCGCCGGGCGGTTTGCCAGGAACGGGGAAGTAAATCATGCGGTGTAGGTGTTTGAGTTTCCAGTCGCGTAGGCAGTTGGTCCTAAGGTACTTGCCGACATCTGTTTTGGTTGCGGCTTGGATTAGTTCATTGTACAGGTAGCTGACACACACGTGTGGATAGTGCCCGCACTGTCCCGGGATGCAGACCGGAGAAGCGCTTTCTGCTAACTTGATCATGTAGGGGTACGAAGCTAGCTGGCTGAGGGTCAGCGTCGACGGGAGCCAAGAGTGCAGTCCGCTCTGGTGGGTCAAAAGATGTTCCACCGTAATGTTCCGTTTGTCGTTGCGCACGAAGCCGTCCCACCACTCACTAATGCAGTCAGACAGACGCAGCTTTTGCTTGCTGACGAGGTGGAGCAACATCGTAACAAGAATTACGTTACATAAACCGAACGCAGTAAACAATGTGCGTGGAGTGACCGGTCGTGAGTCGTAGACGCCCATTTTGCCAAGGTTGATTTCCACGCGTTGGCTACGGCGATGCCACACACTCACTTGTACGCCAACGAGTAGCCCGTTACTAAACAGGGTCGCCAGTATCTTGAAGAGCTTCCATTCCAACAGAGAGCGCGGCTGGAACTTCTCCTGGAGGCCGGAAATGGCATATGGCGTGGTAGCATACGGCGAGGGACACAGGGGAGACATGAACATCCCGGTTCCTGGGCGGAAGGACATCTCGGGGTACGGATAGATACAGTCTCCGACCGGGACTATTCCACCTGTAGGGAAAAGTCCAGAGAGGCGTCCGGGGACAAGTCTTTCTGCAGGGAACATGCCCGTCATGAAGGTCGCGGGGGCGAGGTCCAGAGGTCTTCGACCCGAGATGTAATCGGCAGAGTCCTGAGGCGTGTTCGCCTGCCGCAACATGGCGTTAATCGCGTTCGACAAATTCTGGCCAAAAACGAGGTCCTGATAAGGCGCATTGTATCGCACGGCGGAAGCTGCTGCACCATGGGCCTTATAGACGTAGTAGAGAGCTCGTGGAATTTGACCACGGTCCGCCCGCACTGCTTCTTCCGCTCTTTCGAGCATGATCTGGAAGAAAGGAACTTTCGCTTTGAGTTGTATGGTTAGTCCATGTAGTAAAGATGCGACCCGCAAGAAGAAGATTATATCCTTGGGCCAGTCATCGAGAGGGTTGGAGTTTTGTACATCGGTCATTTTTGTTTCTTTTGCCTTCGACCATGCATCGTCCTTTTCCTTTTGACTCAGCACTTCCTCTTGGGCTGCCGATTTCTTGTTAGTGAAAAGAACTGTAATAGCGTCCATATAAATCTCTGGGTCAATGGGTATTGGACTGGGTCCAGTATCATCTTCAGTTTTGTCTGTCTGTCTAGTGCCGTGTTTGTTTGATGCGGGTTTCTTGAACTTGAAGCCCATGTCTTGAAAAGCGCCCATTAGACCCATGACATCTACCTGTGATATGCTGGTAATGAGACGAGCGAATGCTAGTCTCTCCTTTTCATTAAACTCTTTAACCAGACCCCAATCAAGTAGCACTGGTCTTGGCTTCCCGGTAATTTTATCGATCTCCACCATAATGTTTCCAGGATGCGGATCACCATTGAACAACCCATCTATATGAATTTGGTAAGCAAAAGACTTGGTTATTTCACAACAGAGTTCATCGACATCAACATTGTATTTCGTTAACATTTCTTGGTCGGTACATTTGAAGCCATCGATAAATTCCATGATTACAACTCTTTTGGTTGTATACTGAGGATAGCACTTTGGCACCTTAACATTGATACCAGAGTTAATCATAGCAAGTCGAACGCGTTCCTGACTTCTGGCTTCAAAGGTAAAATCTAATTCCAGAGCTGCTTGTTTTTGCCATTCATCAAGTACGGAAGTGAAGCTTAAGCCACGTTCTAACAAGCCAAAGGCCCAGCTCAATTGTCCCAACAAGGCCATATCCTGACTCAGCATCTTGTCTACATTCGGATGCTGGACCTTAATCACTACCAGCTCCCCAGTTAATAATTTCGCTTTATGAACTTGACCAATAGATGCCGAAGCTAAAGCCTTTTCCTCAACATACTCAAAAATCTCATCCAATGGACGACCCAACTCATGCTCAATAATACCACGAACAATCTCAAAACACGATGTCGGCATCATGTCCTGAACTTTAGCCAATTCAGACACATACTCATCCGGTAATAAGTCAGCACGTGTAGATAAGAACTGACCAACTTTCACCCACCAACCTCTCAAATCTGCTATATTCGTCCAGATAGCTTGTGCAAACTTAGAATGCCGATGCTTCCAATATGCAGCACGCTTTTGCTGAGGCAACATACGAGAATGGACCTGAGCTACCTTAAACCCCAGATACAAATGGCTCCATGTATACAAAGTCTAAAGGAAACAACTACAACCATAACAATCATCTTACCCTAACCTTCCTATTCCACTCATCTAATTTATCCACATTCATGTGAAAAGCCGAAAAGGAAAACACTTATTCCTGACACATCATTACGGAATAAACATGACCCCATACCCCATCCCCCATCCCCCATCCCCCATCCCCCATCCCACATCCCCCACACCACACCGTATTTGGTCGAGTTTTTTTCCATTCAGTCATCTTGCTGAATGTTGTGGACGAAAAACGGCTATGCTGTGATGGTTCAAGTGATGGTTCAAGTGTGGTTCAGATTATTGTCACCGTTTCGTAATGTGGTGGTGGTGGTGGTTGTTGTTCTTCTGGGCGGTTGGTATCCCTGGCCTCTGGGAGCTGTTTAGAACTTCTTCTGTGCCTTGAGATCAGCCAAAGCTTGGTCAACTTCCGCAACGGCATTTCTTCGGTTGGCGCGTACTTGTCTTTCGCTCTTGAGATCAGCCAAAGCTTGGTCAACTTCCGCAACGGCATTTCGTGCGCCAGCATGTGCGCCAGTTTGCTCCTTCTTGTCGCTCTTGGGGAAGAGACTGTACCAGCTCTTAGGTTCTTGTCTTGCCGGCTCAGGTTGTTTCTGAGGGGTGGCCCAGAAGGTTAAGCGACCTTTCTCCTGCTTATCACTCTGCCTGGGCTGTTCAGGCTGTGCGCGTTTGAAGAGGCTGAAACCCTCTTGTTTCTTGTCTTCTTTTCTTGGTTGAGTGGCGGGCTGTGCGCGCTTGAAGAAGCTGAATCCTTCCTTCTTCTTGTCTTCATCAGCCTTCGCGGCAGGTGCGGGCTTCTTGAAGAAGCTGAACCCCTGCTTTTTCTCTTCTACTTTGACTTTGGGTGCAGGTGCCGGCTTCTTGAAGAAGCTGAATCCCGAGGGTTTATCCTCATTCTGTCTTTGCTGACGCGGTTCCTGCGTCTTGGTGAAGGCAAATCGCGAACGTACACCGGCCTTACGGTCATCTGTCTGACGCTCAGTCTGGCGTTTGCCACCGCCGGCCCACGAAGGGAGTTTGGCCTGCACGACTTGCTGACGTTTGCTTCCGCCTTCGTTCGCGCTCGGGAAGTCGCCGGCATCGAAGACCTGACGAGTGCGGAAGGTACTCGGCTGTGCACTGTCCACGGCGTCTCTGGATCTAGCGCTAGCCACCCCCGAGGCGGACTTGGCACCTGACGCCCGCGAAGTCAATCCAGCTGGAGCATGCATGCGGTACACATTCACTCGACGGGGAGCGTTCGTAGCGCGCGCTCCATCCGCGAAGGCCGAGCCAATATTGGCCGTCTCACCTGCGAGGTAACCTGCGCCGCCAGCGACACCCTGCACGGTCGCTTTAGCACCGGACGCGAGGACGTCTTTTGTTCCGACTGCAACGTTCTTGCCCAATTGCGCCCCGTCGGCGACCAAGTGTCCGGCCGCCTCTGCGCCGCCTTTGAGCGTCTGTCCCGCAGCCACAGCCATGTCCTTGGCCTCAAGCGCGCCGTCCTTAAGCAATCCGCCAGTACCCTGAGCCACGGCCTGCGCGCCCTTCACGGCCCCGCCAGCAACGTAGCCCACTCCGTGTGCGGCGTCAGCAGCCACGGCCGGGACCGCCTTGGCTGCAGAT